TTGACCTTTTTAGAGAAAACAATGTCTACAGTTTCACAGCGATGAAGAAGTTTGTGAATTTTGACAATGACAAAAAAAAACATCTGTTAAACGTCTACGTTTTGTTAGCTTTGAGGCGGTTAGCATTAGAAACTGCTTGTCCTCTCTGATGGACACAGTCGCAGTACACATTGTACTACGATACATGTAGTACAATGTGCACTGCGACACAATGAGTACCACATTCTTTTTTTGCAAATTCATTCCTGTAAACTAAAAACAGTGTGTTATCCCTGAGCTAGCATCCAGCATGTTAGCGGTGATTTTATGGGATCCCAACTCATAGCAATAGCAGTATTTTAGCGCTGCAAAACATAGCATAGCACTATGCTAGCGCACTACTAACAAGCCCCTAAGGTTTGTTAGTAGTGCGCTAGCATTGCCCTAGTTTGTAGTGTTTCATTTTGAAGGTCAGTCGTCATCTAGGCTAGGCCAAGCTAACGCTGTTTACATCAGGAGTTTCTTCTGTGTTTTACTGTCAGATGTAAATCTAAAAAGGGTCCTGCGTTGGTTAGCGGACGCTTTCAGGGCATTCAGGGCAGCAGCAGAAAAAGACAGCGAAGGCGCTTCAACTGTAGGTAGCCATAACCCACACCACCCTCCTTCAGCAGATCCTGGTAAACCTCCCTCGTCTATCCTGTGAATCTGAATCCTGTGGGAAAGCTTTTTCCCACACTGCCCACAAAACACCTGCAGCACTGACATCAGCCTCCAATGGGACACGAAACGATAAGACTCCATGCACCTTCACTCACTGACTCCCTCTGCTATATGCTGAGTACTCGCCTAGACAGACACACACACACACACACACACACACACACACACACACACATTGACCTCCATTACAAGAGAAACAAAACATTCCCAGGTCAACAACATCCACGAAAGAAAAAAACAAAGATAAAGAGCAGTGCTACGTGTTCTCCAAACCAGCAACATTTCGGAAAAATACGTTTGGAATGTCTTCGGTTATTTTTCCTCGTATTATGTATGAGGAGTTACACACTGCACCGTGTGTTGCTTTGACTGCAGCCATTTATACTGTGTGTGGGTGTATATATATATATATATATATATATATATATATATGTGTGTGTATATATGTGTATATAAATATATATCAAACCAATAACCAAACCACATGGATTTCAAAATTTTTACCATTTTTGAGGTTGAAAAATCAGATCAAATTAAAATATAAAATATTTTATATATTTTATATATTTTGAAATATAAAAAATATGGATTTTTATTTTATTGTACTCCTATTGTTAGTCTTTCAAAGTGAAGTCAACTTTATTTTTATAGACCAAATTCACAAAACACATTTGTCTCACTGGACTTTACTAGTGTTAAAATTCCAATTACAAGTAAAAAGTGTCTCTTAATAAAGTTTAAACCCAAAGCCACAATTCTTCTCTTTTGTCTCTTCTGCTCCTCCAGTATTTTTCACACCCAAAAAAAAAAAAAATTAAAACACTGAGACATTGAAAGCTTATGACTTTTACTGACAGGCCTTCATTTGCTTTCATTCAGTGTCTCATCATGGCTTCAAAGACAAATGGATCATCCACCACTCAGGGGAAATGTGGGGCGGGGTGGAGATGGATGGGGGTGGGGGGTGAGAACATCAGTGTGTCTTTGAAAAAATGACTGGTATCCAAAAACTGTTGACCTGAGGCGATTTCTGCTCCTTATAATTGCCCTCTTCACTTAGACTGTCTAGGGCAATTACTGAAGAGTTATGATGTATTATATTGCCAGGAAAACATCATTAAATATGTTGTGTAAAAGTGATTCAATAACATATCATCTACCCGTGATGAACAAAACAACTTATCACGGCGAACACGCAGCGCCTGTTTCTCCCGCTGCGCAATAAATCTGCTGCCGCATTGTCTCACCAGGAGGCAGCGGCTCATCCGACGCTAGGTTGTCGTTGGGGTGAGGAATCCAAAGAGTGATACCAGGAAATCAGTGGTGATCAGCGCTAAAACTGCGAGGAAGTTCAGCTTCCTCTGTGATGTCATAAAATAATTTCAAATATCTGCCATTTTCTTTGATATGTTATTTACTAAAACGTCATTGGATTTAATGTAGACCACATTCACAAAACACATTTGTGTCAATGGACTTTACAGTTTGAAATAAGAATCAACATTAAACTTAAAATGTTCTCAAACATACGGTCCGTGGGCCAAAACCGGCCCGCTGTGGGGTTCAATCCGGCCCGTTTGATATTTTTGGAAATTTGGAAAGTGAAAAACACTTCATGTTTGTGATGTTTTGTCCAATTATATTTTATTGAATATGAATATTTTCTAATGTGATTGTACTTATTAACAGGAAAACAAAAGAAAAAAATCATGGACTTATTGTTATTTATAGGTAATTATGTTATGTTTGTAGTGGTCTGGGCCACTTGATATCTATACAGATCCACATACATGTATGTGTATATGTATATAGCTCCATATTAGCCACCTCTTTCAGAAGCTTCCCCCTACTGTCGCACTGAGATATTTCACATTCAGATATTTGTAAATATCGATTTTGGAAAAGACTGTTTTGGTTTTAAGGTGAGTCTCTTCAACTTTAAGTTCTAAAACCTAAATAAGATAAGTTACTGCTGTCGTAATTGATATAACTGGAAAGTTAGCATAGCATAGCAAAGTACTTCAGTTAAGCATATAACTTCATACACTTACTCTATATAAAAATATTTAGGCATAACTTTTCTATAAAGTAGTATTGTTACATTAAACTAGTCCTAACCGTCTGCGTTCTCCGGGTCAGTCGGAGGAACGTGATTGGACTCCACACCTGGGAGCCTAGATTCCAGTTTGTGCCCCTGGTGCTCAGGTGTGGAGGACAACCAGTAAGCTCATATCATCCTTTCCTGAGGGCTGAAAGATAAAGGACAGACGGCGAGAACCCCACGACCTCAGGAGGGAGAGAAGATGGTGCTGAGAAATGATTTGAAGGAGGCCTTACTCTTCGTGGGCTCTGCTTCTCTCCCCGTCTGAGCAACAGGTTCAAGCTGGGCGCAACCAACCGCTGCCCTGAGGATGTGTTATGACAACTGAAAATAGTGAACAGCGAGAGCAAGAAGTGGCTTGAACGAATCTCAAGGTTTCTGACAAATGGGGGCTGGTTAAAAAAAAAAGGACCTCTGTTGAGATGTTTCTAGCCTGAAGATACAACTATCATCTCAAGTACCATCAGGCAGCCAGGGGAAGACTGTCTGGACTGACTTGTGATGGCTGTTTGAGGTAAACAAACACAGCCGTGACGGGAAAACGGCGGCGTGCAACAGCCCAGCGCTCTGAGGTTAAAGGATGCTGAAACCTTGGCATCGCTAGCTGCAGGCCTCGTCAACTCAGCGCTCCTGCGTCAGGAAACAGAGCGAGTAGTGATGGAGGAACGGTGAGAGGTGATTGAGATGTGGTTTTGTGAAGGTGCCAGGCAGGTGGCGCCCCGGGATGATTCTCTTTCCATTATATCACCAGAGAGTTATTGTGAAAATTTCCCAGCATTTTTCTGGGAAACACTGTCGTGGCCCTTTCACACAGGCTGTCACGACAATCAGCGAATGACTTCACGAACCGCCTGTCTCCTTCCTACCACAGACAACATGACCACTCTCCATTGTGATCTATAAAAGGCTCCATATCATTGGGTTTGGCGTGTCTGACCTCAGGCTACAAGGAAGCCTCTGGATGGACAGACGGGAATATTCTGACACCTATCTGTGGAAACGTAGGATGGCCTAATTAGAATGAGTCAGGGGGAGCTGACAAAAGCTGCCCTCAGGACAAGTTTCTTTAGAGTCTTTCCTGTCACATGTCTACATGTCAACAGATTATACCATACGCTCTCAAGAGTTCGTTCCAGTCGGGAAATAATCTCTGTTATTACTCTTGTCAGCTATGAGGTTTAAAAGAATATCAAATATAATGGAAAACGTAGCCCCGGGTCAGGATTTAAATTAGTGAACTGCTGACTAGTCCATTGTGGACATGGTCGGATTAACCTTCTGTAGGGAA